GGTGGTGCAGTGGATAGGGCTCTGGCTTTGGAGTTAGGAGGATCTGAGTTCAAATGTGGCCTCAGACACATAACACTAACTATGTGGCCCTGGGCAAGTCACTTAACCCCAATGTCTAACAAAAACAAACAAAAAAAACCACACACACACAAAAAATATCTCTCATTTGATCTTCATAACAATCCTTTGAGGTCAATGTTAGTATCTCCATTTTGCAGATGAGGAGACTGACGCAAACAGTGGTTAAGTGATTTGCCCAGGGTCACACAGCTAGGAAGTGTGTGAGGCTGACTTTGAACTCAGGTCTTCCTGACTCTGAACCACTGTGCCACCTAGCTGCCTCAACAGAGGGACATCATCTGAGTGCAAATCAATGGTGGTTGAGCTATATGACCTCTAAGGCTCTTTTTAGTTTTGACACTCGATGCACTTTGCAATTTTACAAGACTTGCATTTAGTCTTCTGGGGGAGGTGACCAACCTCCTGAAACATACATTGACTCTGGTTAATTGGTTTCCTCAAAAAAGGGGAGACAGTGGTGGGATTCCAAATTTGTTCTTAATGTTTTATCTAAAGTTTCTAAGTCCTAGGGGCAGCTAGATGGTGAAGTGGATAAAGCACTGACCCTGAAGTCAGGAGGACCTGAGTTCAGATCTGGCTTCAGACCAAACACTTGACACTTACTAGATGTGTGACCCTGGGCAAGTCACTCAACTCCAATTGCCTAAAAATTTAAAATAAATAAAAAATAAAGTTTGTAACTCCAACTACTTAGCGTACTGTTGGTGCTTAATACGTGGTTGTAGGATTGATGCTCAGCACAATGCCTGACCTATAGTAAGCATTTAACAGATGCTTTATCTGTTTATCTGTCTACCTGATTCAATTCATATAAGAGCCCCTATTTTATAATCTTACATGGAAAAGATCAATTAGATTCAAGAATAACTGGATTAATATCTTTACTTGAGAATCATAAATGTAAGGATCCTTGGGGGTGGGGAAGAATGTTACAGGCAATCCCTGATTTGTGAGATAGACTTGGGATCATTGACTGAATGCATTATCTAGTCCAATCCTCTCATTTTACTGATAATAAAAGTGAAATGAGCCCCCCAAAAAAGTGAAGTGACTTAGCAGCAGTGCTGGGCTTTAAGCACAGTTTCTCTGATTCTACTCTAATGGTCTTTCCACTGCACCAAACTATAGTTTCCACCTATTTCATACTTTTTCTAGAACCTTGACAACTATCAGGCAGTCAATTTGTTCCTTTCTTCTCTGCTCCACCCATTACCCCCCCCAAATACTTGACCCCAAGCTCCCCCCCGCAAAAGGAGGAGGAAGCTGTACCCCCTGCTGTCCATTGCTGCACTGAATGTTCTAGGCCAGTCCCATAATTCAGCTCCATTGTGTCATCATGACTTTTGTAAGCTGGCCTGGGAACTTAAGTTCATTCATAACATTAACTCTAGTTCCAAACAGCTGTGTTCCAAGTACAATTTTGCACAACCCATTCAGAAGTTATGGAGTGATTGTATTAAAATACAGGTCACACTAAGAGCAATTCAAATAGAGATTATGACATTTTGAAGCATGGGAGTTTCATGGCTTTTTTCCTGTAACAATTATATGCTGTTGGGAGGGGAGAGTAGAGAAAGGGGGAAAGTACTACATAAAATCCTTTTATATGCTGTCCCCTTTATAGACTCCTTTTCTTCTCCACCTCATTCATACTTACTGAGAGATACAGAGGGAAAAGTACTGAACCTTTGGGGAAGTAAACCTTTTCTCATCTTCTTCCAAGTGTTTTCATGCTGATAACTCTCATCATTTTGTTTCCATCTCTTAGAAATTACGTCTAGCTTTCTCTCTCCAACTACAACCAGGACATTATGTCTCGAATCAAACTGATCCATTTCTCCCTGCCTACCCTACTTAACCCCTCCCAAATTCCTGATTCTTCTGTTTTAACAGTAACCCCAGGTCAAAACCTCAATTACCTTGGCTTTCCCCACTCCTCCTGTCTTCTATATCCCTCTATCTGGACCTTTATTTCCTAATCTGTAACATTAGAAGTTGAACTAGGTGATCTTTAAGGTCCATTCATTGGCTAAAGTCCTATCAATTATTTCCAAAGTTCTATTTTTTTCTCAATTTACCTAGACACTATATTAAGCTGTCATCATTTCGTGTATCAGCTTCCCCTAACACTCAGTCCTTGGCTTTTTGCTCTTTTCCCTAGTGAAGTCATCTATTCATCGCATTTCAACTATTATGTTTATTCAGATAGTTTCTTCATCTAATTTCCAGGATACACTAGGCCAGGAATCTGGAAACATTTTCCTGGTTCACTCATTAACACTAGCAGTGTAATCTTAACTCATTTGGAAAATTGAGATGTTTACACTACTTACTTGACAAGGTTATTGTGAAGACAAAAGTATGCAAAAATGATTTGTAATAGAGATATATAAATTTGATTTACATAAATGTTCTGACTTCTGAAACTTAGCTAAAAAAATTAAGCTCAGTATCCTGTCACCTCTTCCCAATTCTCCATTCCTATCCATTCATTCCAAGACCAAAACTTTTATCACTTTTCCACTACCCCCCACATTCATTTTGCATGATCAATTCTTGCTACATCTTTGGTATTGCTTGAGTTTTCTACATACAGCTATTCTACGTAAGACTAGCTTCTTTACAGCACTACAGTTACTATAACCTTTCAGCTGATTCTGTTCCTTCTAATTCTCCCCATTTCCATCCATCCTACCTGTAGAGAACAGCAGTTGAATTACTGGCCCATGAATTAGCTGGAACAACTCAGATCCTCTTCTGGCTTTGTGATTTATAGAAAGTCACATTACCCATGTCAAATTTTGCTTTTTCTACCATTAATTATTTCCCAGAAATCAGCTTTCCTAGCTCCTACCTTTCTCCCTTTTTGGATATTTCAATGTGCAAACTCAGTTGGGGAGAGGATTTCGTCTTGAAATAGTGATAAAACAGGGTCACTCCTCCACCCTGTGGGAACTGGCCTCAGTGAAAGATAAAGCTGTCTCTTTCTTTTCCGATTTCCCTTTCTTCAGCTGGGCACTTCTCCATCTAGGTTAGAAAGGGTGAGCTTGAGTCATTCATTATGTGCATTAGCATGTCCTGGGTTTTTTTCCCTTGTTGTATGTATCGGGTTATAAGTGGGCCGGATGTGCTTTCAGTTACCTGGGATCTGGGCCTGCTGTGACTGTATGCAAAAAGAGGTTGCTGGGTCACGCTTATTCCTATATATACTTTAAAAATCCACATTTCACTATGCAACTCTCATATAGTATATATTTCCTATTCCCTGTCATTTGATCACCAGCGTTGGCCTGAGGATCTGACAAGGTTTTAACATATCACCTAAATTATCCTTTCCCACCCTACTGCTTTCCTGGACTTCATGATCTCCAGAAATTGATCATTCTGCAAGATGAAATATAATCTGAAATTCCTGCCTCCTCCGCACCATTTGCCCCCCAGGGCCTCTCTTTACAGTTAGTGGGTAGAGGGTAAACTAATTGGGGACCTCCTCCTTTATCTCCACTATTTTAGGCAGGATCTCAGGGAATCCACCTCATCATTTCCCACTTTGCAGTTTTCCTAGATTATAAACTCTAGAAACTCATCATTTTACAAGATGAAATCAATTCTGAAACTCTCACCTCCTTAGATCATTTCTCTCCCCAGGATCTAGTACTACATCACACACATTACCTAGATTGGGAGCTTCTTGAGGGTAGCAAATGTCTTAGGCCTTTCTTTGTATCCCAGTGCTTAGTACATGTGCTCAATAAATGTTTATTGACTGACTAAACACAAAAACCGCTAGAAAACTTGACTTTTCACTTTTTTCACTTCACAGCTTTATTCACGAACTTATAACAACTCTGTTGAGATTGTTAAACAATTCACCCCACCCTGTATTCAAACCCTTTCAAATGGATTTCCCTACCCCATTTCACTAACCATATTATTGAGCTATGGGGTTCTCCAATGTTGTAAACTTCCCTGTCTTTTGTATGTTGAGGCAGCTAGGTGACACAATGGACAGAGTGCTAGCCCTGGAGTCAGGAGGACCAGAGTTCAAATTCAGCCTCAGACACTTACTAGCTATATGGTCTTGGGCAAGTCTTAACTTAGCCCTGTTTGCCTCAATTTTCTCAACTATAAAATGAGCTGGAGAAGGAAATGGCAAACCACTCTAGTATCTTTGCCAAGAAAACCCCAAATAAGGTCATAAAGCGTCAGACACAACTAATCAACAACAAAAAATTCATTTTCTGTACCTTTAAACATTTCTTTCATTCTTCCTTTCTGAAGTCACTCACTACAGAAATCACAGAATTTAAGAGTTTGGAGAGGACTTTAAAGGTCATCTAGGACAACTGAAAATATCGTAGAAGAGGACGTGGTCGTCCAGACCACTAGTGAAAGGGGAACTCATTGCCTATGATTAACACAAAAGCCACATTTGCATGGTGGATACAGCAAGCCTCAGTCAGAAGAGCTAGGTTCAAGCGTTCCCTTTAATACACTGCCTATGTGACCCTGGGCCTCCAGACAACAGTTAAGACAATAAAGTCTTATCTGCATTCAAATGCCTATCTGCATTTGAAATGGGGGTTTCCTCAACAGGAACTCACTGTACCAATGAAAAATCATAAGCCTGGCAAAAAAATAAAAAAGCACCTCAGAAATCTTAGCCCTTCAGTGTTAATGATTTGTACTATTCCAATATCTTGCTTTATACGATAGATGTTCCTGAAGTGATTTGGCTTACATCAAATTTAAAAGCATACTAGAGGAGCCAGCTACTCAGAGGACAACCTATAAAAATTCTTATAAAGAAAAACAATCATGTCCACATGGCTATTTTCTAAATTTCAATTTTTAGTTTTTTTTTAAAAGCATGATACATGTTACTCAGATATTATGTTAAAGTCTTTCCATGTGTTTATTTTATAAATGTCAAACCAGATTATAATTTCCTTAAAGGCAAGAGCTTCTTATGTTTTATACTCCCTCAAAGAATATGTAATACAGTACTGAATATTGACTAACAAATATACAACATAAATTGAAAATGAGGTAACAATAATATTCACTCTTCCCAAACATTCATATTCCCCAATTACAAATATAAGATATATAAACAATGCTTTTTTTGATGGGAGATTGAAGTTTATTTGTCAAGTATATGTAAGTCATGCCAGACTCGACTGAAAAGATGCTATTTACATAAAGTATCACAAGATTAAAAATACACAGTATTTGTACTTTAATACAAGTGTCCAAAAGCAAACTATAATAGTTTGCAGAATACAATTAATTCTGTCACTAGGCATCAAGTTAAAAAAAAAAGAGCCAATGTTCAAGGTTTTCACTAATTTAGAAAAGTAGCCCAAAGATGTAACTAAAGTGTATGTTTACTTTTGGCAGTGTTATTTCCCAACAGTCAAACATAAAATATTTATATATATGTGGTCATCCATTGGTAGGTAAAGAAGCATTTCTTTCATCACATGTGTCAATCTGGGGATTTTCTTCAAAATTTCTGCCTACTTCTTCACCTCCAGAATCAGAATCTTCAAATGCTGAATTGTTTTGTGGTTCAAAGTTTTCTACAGACTGGCCAGTTAGCCTCTAAAAAGAATGAAAATTATTTCAGCACAAAAACTTTAAGGCTTTTGCATATCATCAGTATATAGATATATTAGGTCCTCTATATAATCACATACTCAGAAGCCATGTTAAAAAAAAACGTTATAATAAAGCCCTTTGAACAGATCCAGTAACTAACACTTGGAAACAGTTCAATATCATGCCCTACCAAAACAGAAAACATTTTACTGTAAACTCCTGAATTTAAAGCAGCAATTTCAAAGTTTGAAAATTAAAAAGTGAAGGAAAAGTACCTTTTTTTTTTAACTAGTTTGTACGAATCTTGGGCCTAAAATTCTAATGAACATTAATTCTAATGAGTTTTCACTAGACCAGTTGTTTTGGAAGTGCCAACAAAACAGGTGTAATATTAGCAGCCTCAAAAAATGGGACTAAAAGCATCAACATTTTTTTTTGTGTTAAAAAACCAGAGTAGTTTTATAATAGTAAAAATCACACCATTTTGGTTCTTCTTCAAATTAGTTAATAGAAATTCCTATAACAACAGACATTTCATGACTTTTTTAAAAAAAGTACGTTCAAGTTTTGAGGTTAAATCGATTCTTAAAACTTAGGAAGGCTTGCTGTTTAAAGGATGTAACTAAAACGAGGTATGGCAAAATTAAGTCTCTAACACAACAAAAATCAACATTAAATTTCTGAAAGCAATTCTATAAGGGTCTTATAAATACTAAAAATGCTTACTTCTATCATATCTGCCAAGTATTGCACATGTCCTGCTAGTTCTGCCAGTTCCTTATTTTCTTCTTTTAGGTGGGCAATTTCATTGTCTTTCTGTTCAATTTCTTTATGTAGCTAAAAATACAAATACAATTTTATAAGCTGTCTATATTTCATGGAAGGAATTTAATTCAAGACAATATGTATTAAACATTTACTATGTGACAAAGTACCTGTTCCCAACAAGCCTGAAATCTAATGGGGTGAAAAGGGGGCAGCCTACATTGGTAGGCAAATAATTATAATAAAAGGCTTGAAAAAAAATCTCAAGAAATTTGAACACTGTAATCTTGAAGGAGGGTGGAGGGAAGGGGATACCAGAAAAGGCTTCAGGGAAAGTACCTGAGGTGAGCCTTGAAGAGAACGGCTTTGACACAAAGAGAAAGACTGGGGGTAGTCCAGTACAGAATAGTGGATGGTGTCAGTAAAAATATGGACATCAAAGAGGGAAGGATAATAATGAGGATGAAAAATCATACTGCCTGGCTGAAACAGAGGTTGGAAAGCTTGCCAGCAGCCAGATTACGGAGGGCTTTGACTAGCAAGCCAAAGAGTCTCTTGTAGTACTTTTGGAGAAAGGGATGGAGAGCCACTGAAATATTTTGGACAGACAAGCGAGACAGTTGTGGGGTGATGTATTAAGAAGATTATGTAAGAAGCAGGATCAAGAGGACAATATACACAACAAATATAAAATCGTAAATGAAAACAACACTGAAAGGCAGAAAAAACTCAGATTAACTGCAATGAACAATCTTGGTCTCAGAACATAATGAAATACATTTCTTTCTTGATAGAGGTGGGAAGGACTGTGACAACAAAATGTTGCAATGCTATCAGAAGCAGTCATGTTGTTTTTCTTTGTTAGAAGGGAGAGATCAATGGGAGTAGGAAAGATAAGTTTATTGAGGTTGTGGTGTAAGGCAAAAAAAAAAACCTGAGAAAAAAGATTATGTGAATAATGGTACAAAAGCATGAATCAGAAATGGATAGAACAGAGAGAAGATAAGAATTCTAATGGATATTGTAATATTGTAGGTGAGAAGAAATGAGGACCCAAACCACATAGTGACAATGGGAATGAAAGGAAAGAATACAAGAGATACTAAAAAAACAGAATGACCAGATGGAGAGGGGAAGGGAAGGATCAAGGCTGGAAGTCAGGGATGTTCTCAGTTTTAAATCCTGTGTAACTAGAAGGATGGTGGTAATGTTAAAAGAAATAGAAAAGATAGGGAAGGTAAAAGATGATAAGTCCAGTTTGAAACATGGTAAGTTTAAAATGTCAGCTTAACATCCAGGTAGATTAAATATTATCTAAGAACTATTTACATAACCATTATTCTCATATAGAAAATTCACAACAGTGGATATATTCATTTTGTAACACCTAGTTACAAAGCTTCACTCTACTAATGGGTAGTTATAGTGTGGATCAAATAAAAAATCGTCCCTCCCTCCCCATTCTACATAGTTTCGTGTTATCTCTCACCGTAACAGCTATATTGTATGTAATAATTCTTTTAACATTTACTTCTTTCATTATGCTTTGCTGAAGCTAATCAATGTGTTTTATTCTTTAAGCACACAGCACCAAGGCAATCAAGAAATATTCAAGGGGAGGGGGGTTTAGAGGGAGAAGCACTGAGGGAAGGAAGGGTGGTACACAGTAACATTAAGTCAACTAGAATCGAATACATACTTTCTCATTTTCTTGTAGTACTTCATAAAGAGCCTTCCTCCGTTCTTCTGCCACTTCTTTCCAGTACTGTGAAGGGGGGTTTTCTACAGTGATTAAATATAAATATTAAGATTAATCTTAACTCATTATTACAGAAGCTAATATAAATTATTTTGATTCTTTTTTTTCTTTTAGGCAATTGGGGTTAAGTGACTTGCCCAAGGTCACACAGCTAGTAATTGTCAAGTGTTTGGTCTGAGGCCAGATTTGAACTCAGGTCCTCCTGACTTCAGGGTCGGTGCTCTATCCACTGCGCCATCTAGCTGCCCCAATTATTTTGATTCTTGAAGCACACCAAGCAAACCTAGACAAACCAGGTCTAGGAATTTCTCTATGTGAAATGGTTGCCAACTCTGTCTCACACATGGAAAAAGTATATTTCTGATCATTTAATCTTTTTTTTTTAACTTTTTCTATTAGAATCTAATCAGTCTGCCTATTTTATTCCTACTAATAAGTTCCAGGGAAAAAGAGTGGTGTAGTATAAGTTATATAGTATATAGAAGGCTAGCCTCAGAGTTGGGAAAATTGGGTTCAATCCATGCTTTATGCTGGCACCTACTATGTGCTAGGTAGGCAGTGCGCTAAGCACTTTACAAATATCTCATTACATCATCATTTTACAAGTGAAGAAACTGAGGCAGACAAAAGTTAAGTAACTTGCCCAAGGTCACACAGCTAGTAGATATTGGTGGTCACATCTGAACTCAGGCCTTTCTGATTCCAGACCCAGTACTCTATCCACCAGCTGCCCTACCTTAGACACATTAGGCTCTGTGACCCTGGGCAAGGCACTTAAACTCTCAAATGACACATCAAATTCTTTAAGACTATAAATTGCAGAGTATGTGGCAATCATGATTGGCAGAAGGAGTTCCCTATATTAAAGAAATCACAAGTCTACTATTAAAAAAAGAAAAAAAGCAAACGCTACCAAAACTTCCCATTTAATTTATTTCATCTATTATGAGCTCTCTTGATACTTCTACAATTAAAACATCTGTTTTGTAATTTATCAACTCTCCCTTGCCACTCAGATAAAATTCAGCACTGTGGTTCTCAATTTCTAGGATTACTACTGATTCAATGAACAACTTCTCATTCTGTTGCTCACTCACACTGCCCCCCTTACACTTCAAATTTATCTTTCCACTCTTAATTCATTAGTACTGCAAATCAACCTCCAAACATATTTTTGAGAAAAAAATATTAAACTACAGACTATCAGTATAATTTGGTGCCATATATATTATATACACAAAACAGTAAAATGCATATGGTTGGTGTTAACATACAGATGAAAAATATTATCAGCATAAATATAAAAGCAAAACACCTAAAAATAAACATTCAATTCACAGTACAGGCTTCATAATTGAAGAATAAGCAACAGAAGCACATTGGTAACCCACTGAAAAGTAGGGAGAAGTTTAGTTCAATAAACATTGTAACAGCAACACAAAGGAACTCAGGAAGGAAGATCCTTTTTACCTACACTGGAAGCCATGACAGGACTTACGACAGGTATTTGGGAAAAGCTTTGATGGGGTGACATCATAGTAACATATAAGCAACAACAAATATTTACATACCTTTAATCATGAGATCAAAAGCTTCTTGAGAGACTCCTTCAAGGTTTTCATTTTCACTGTGCTCCGAGTCTATAGCAACCTCAGCATTAGAAGACTTGGATGTTAGTTGATCATTCCAAAGCTTCCTTTTGGATAAGGCCTTGATAGGAGTTGACTGAAATTTTAGGTAACAATTACTAATTTTGATTGAATGGACATGAAAACTACATATAGTAGGTAGTCTTTTAGCCATGTATTAACTCAAAACAAAGAACTTAACCTCTCAGTGTTAAGCTATTAACCTTTAAGTATTCATTCATACACATTTTTAGTGTGTCTACAATTCTATAAATACTAAGTCATTTTTAATTCTATCAAATACAGTTAAAGTTTATAAACTTAAATGTGATCCACATTATCTGCAACAGTTATGATAGATTAACGGTTTAAATCTTAGCTACAAATTTCCTTTCAGTTACATGTGAATAAATACGTAGACAAGGGGAGTTGTTTAAAGCTGTTTCCTACAAAAACATGTAGGTGTTTTTCAACACCAATATTTTTCCAATGATGCTATATGGCCACAAGTCATGAAACATAATGATCTATAAAGAACTGAAATTGCAGGTGACCCAGTAAAAGCAATACTATACAATGATGAACTATGTATGATTTAGCCATTCTCAGCAATACAATGATCCAAAACATTTTCTGAAGAACTTATGATGAAAAATGCTATCCGCCTCAAGAGAAAAAAAACTGATAAGAGTCCAAACGCATATGGAAACATACTTTTTTAAACTTTTTTTTTCTTGTTTTTTCTGGGTTAAGTGTTTCCTTTCACAACATGACTAATATGGAAATGTTCTGAATGACTATATGTGTGTGTGTGTGTGTGTGTGTGTGTGTGTACACACACACACACATACACACATATATATATAAAAGCTATATCAAACCACTTGTCTTCTCATTGGGGGGTAGGGGAGGGTGGGTGGGAGAGCTTGAACTCAAATTTTTAAAAATGAGTGTTAAAAGTTGTTTTTACGTGTAATTAGAAAAACAAGTTTGAAAATAAAATGTTTCACACACACACACACACACACACACACACACACAAAATAAAAAAATATTGCAGGTGACCCTGCAATGGAGCAATATATTGGTCATATGTAGGTCATGACATATTATCAAAGATGACTTGCATGCAAGCCATCACTTATCATGAACTTAAATAAAAAAGGCAGATGGTCATGTATCATAAACAAAAGCTAACAATGGCTCTCCCAGTACTCACAAAAGTGTCAAAAGACCTGGAGGAAGAATTCCAGAGTCAGACCATTCCACTTCTAAGATTTACAGGAAGATATGGACAAGAATCTCAAAGGATAAAAAAAGTCAAGTATGGGTATTGAGCTGCACCAGAAGAGGGCTCCGGATGCACAGATTTTATCGAGGTTTAAGTCTCAGCTCTACCACTTATTACCTGGCACAAACACGGACAAATTATTTAAATTTCCTGGGCCTCAATTTCCTCATCTGAAGAATGGACACAATAATAATGCTTAATACTCTACTTCACAGTTGCTATCAGGAAATCATGTTGTAAAGTATAAAGTGCTACATAAATGTGACCTATTATGATCATTAAAGTAGTAGACACATGTTTAACATTTTTTAACTTGTAATTACAAGTAACTACCTTTCCACTTAAACTCAACAGCTAGCAGAACTGCAAAATTCAATCGCAGTGGTGTCCTCAAGATCACCACCATTTGACATTTTCTTCAACTCTCAAATGGACAAAAAATTAATAGATATGTTCACAGATTATTAAAATCTTCTCTTGCACTACAGAGTTCAATTCAATCTAGGATTTTGAACTTCCCCATATTGAGTTGTGAACAGTATTTATTCTAGGAACAATGACTGTTTTACCATTCAACTATCCCTGTACTTCAATAATATGTACTTCTAAGTTAGGAGATACCAGAACCATGTTCCTGTTAATACTTACATCATCCTAACCCAACACTACATACCTCATTTAGTCTGCCAACTAGAGAACCAGCTGCAGATGGCTGAATCATCTTGAGTGTTCGTCTTGGTATGAGGCTGCCATCTGTGTTGTCCAAGAAGTAATTCTGCAAATTAAGATAGATTGTCTGGCTATTAAATAACTATATTTATAATTAGTGTCATGACTATCATAACAGCAAAAAAAAAAAAAAATACAATTGCTAACATTTAATGCTGATATATTATTCTTGAGAAGAAAAACCTAAGTTTCCATCAGTTTTTCTTGGAATTAGGGGGAAATTTCACTTTATAAACTGGGCAATTCTTTCAATAAAAGAATTTTAGCTATTTTAAATTTAATACAACAAACTTTTATTAAGTGGCTACTATGTGCAAGACCCCGTCTTGAGTCAAAACACTTTTTTCCCCAAAGAAAAACAATCCTTAAATTTCTTACAAGAAAAGCATATCTGATCATATTGTGCTTTACTTTGCTAATAAAAATACAAGCTTAATTAAACAGATTAAGAATACTACCTTACTCAATGAAAAAAAAAAAAAAGAATACTACCTTAGTCATTAGGTATGCTTAACATATGCTAATATAGTTATCAGCAAGGTTCTGGTTTTTTAAAGCCAGCATCCTCTTCAAATTGGGGAGTGATGGAAGGGTGAAAGAAGGAGATAGAAGAAGCTAACATTTCTCCCCTTCCTGAGAAACTTGCTAAAGTCATAGATATTATGAAATGTGAGAAGGTTAAAAAAGGGTTCAATCCTATCCCAAATCATACACATCCCACTTTAAATAAAACCCAGTGAACAATTAAGAATAAATATAAAGAGGCTGTTTATGTGTTTTTACAAGGGCCTTGTTATGTGTTATCTTTATTTGTGTTATCTTTTTTTTTTTGTGGCAATCGGGGTTAAGTGACTTGCCTAGGGTCACACAGCTACTAAGTGTCAAGTGTCTGAGGTCACATTTGAACTCAGGTTCTCCTGACTCCAAGGTTGGAGCTCTATCCACTGGACCACCTACCTGCCCCATGTGTTATCTTTAAATAGCAAGATATTCATGATGTATTTTAAAAATTTTGATTTCCTAAAATCTAATTATACAACTAAAGGAATCATCTACTAAATAAAATCAGGTAAGTCATTTTTAAAAATCTTCATTTAGAAACTTTTTCAAGGGTTACCTAAATATACAAGCAATTATGCTTCAAACCCATTAATCAAAAGACTGCTAGAATTTCCTTGCTTGGGGCACAGTTGAAACACTCTGACATCCAGCCAAGCCATTGTTTTGTGGAACAGTGTGTTCATCACCTTCCTTGTCAAATGCAAATATCCTGTACATTTCCTGGACTGAAAGCTTTTTATTTTCAAAAAAATCATTAGTTATACTGCCATCAGGGGATAGCAAACAATGTTGGATAGTCAAACAAGGTTAGTTTAGAACATGATACTATACCAGCGTGAGAAAGTTACTGATTTGTACTATACTTCACATGACAAAGAGTTCACCTTTCCCACGGTAAAGTTTCTGAAGTTGATTATTATCTTACTATTCAACTGAAAATGCCAGCTACTGTGGGAACTAACATTTTACTAACATTTCAGAAACACTATAGATTACAACAGTTAGTCAATAGTCTCCTGACAAACAGAAGCAAGCTTAACTTTGAAAGCTAAAATACAAGAAGCAGTTAGCTAATTAAAAATTAACCACTCTCCATTACTAAGGTCTAAATGAACCAAAAGAAACTGGTGCACTATTAGACCATCATGCTGAAATGTGCAAGATTCTTGGTGTTAACTACGACATGTCACACAATTCATAGAACATCACAAAATGCCATAGGAATGAACCTTAAAGACTATCAAAAGTTTATTCCCCCTCATTTTATGAATAAGGAAAAATCTTAAAGAGATTAAACAACCTAAGGTAACACTGCTAAACTAGAATCCAGGTCTCCTAACTAGGGTCCTAATCATTCCAATTCAATGCATAAAACAGTGAACCCATCAAGGGTATTCATTGCTAAGAGTTTGTTGATTGTGCTTAGTCCACATTTGTAAATTCATTTCTCTCCTATTCTTTCATGTGTATTTGTATGACTATATAGCAAACAATGAAATCTGACCCATTTCAAATGAGTTCTAAGTTTGAAAAGTTATTTAAGGTCTATTCGATATTAAGACCCCCTAATAGTCCTGAATTTAGAAAAAACAAGCAAACCCCAGGTCCAAATACAATGAGAACACTAAACTTGGATGACAACTCTGCTACTTAGTATCTGGTGTGATCTTAGGCAAGTAGTTTCCCTTCTGTGAGCCTTAGTTAACTTATCTATAAAATTAAAGGATTGGACTAGGTGATCCCTGCAATCCCTTTTCCAGCTCTAATCACCACAATCCAAGTAAAGCTATTAGAACAAAGCATGCCCTATACATACTTTATACTCAGAAATATACTCTCTAAAGCAGTTCCATAATTTTTTGGTAGGGGTGGGGGAGGGAAGGAAAGAATCAAACCACTTCACATTTCACAAAATGAAAATTTATACTTTTTTTCTTAAATTAACATCTTCCAAATATCCCAGGTGGCCCACATTAATTACTATTATACAATCAGAAACAGTGAATCTAGAGTTAGAAAATACCTCAAAGGCCATCTATAGGGCATGATCATTTTCTGTGCAAGTATGCACTACATTCTTATGTAACCCTACCTTTGCTCATACTGTTCCCTCTATCTGGGTAGAATATTCAAACCCATTAATCCCTCCTCCCTCCTGCTTTTTACCCGCTAACTTCCTATCCTTCTAGTTCACGCCAGAACTAAAAGTAGAACCTCTATAGTCTAGTAGTCTTTCCTCCATACTAAACTCTTTCTAAAATAAAATCCATCATCCAGAATTATATCAGCTTGACATACACTCACAAAGAACGCATATTTTTCATTTTCTAAACTAATATAAAACTGGTGTCTATTCATTTGTTTTAAAATTGCTAGGTTCCTACTCTCACTGATCATGTAAACAGCTTCTGTCAGAAAGTACCAAAACTTAAATAACCCTTTTCCAGTGCCTTTAACTAACTTGCTTCTGTCTGATTTACTTCAATTGTTTTAGTGAAAATGGATTGGAAAACTTAATCAGCAACATGGCTCTAGTCTAGATAAAATGATGACCCAGTTTCCTCTTACTTATAATTTTTACTTTCTCATCTTCTCATGTTCATTATCTTTCTGAGCCCTCACTGGAAAACTGTGATGTTACAGGCCCTTTCTTTGTCCTTTGTAATGTGAACTCTACCTTATGATAAAGTCGGGAGAAAGCAATGGCTTTGGAGTCTGAAGACCTAGATGTGAATTCAGGCTCTTCTAGAATGCATGCTTCTGAAGGGAAAGGAAAAAGGTTTCACTTTTGTCTTTGTATCCCAATATCTAGTATAAAATAAGCATTTAATAAATGTTTGTTGAACTGAATTATGAAGTCCAATTCAAATGCCACCTTCTCTAAGAAGCCTTCTTTGATCCTCCTAGTTGGTAGCCACATTCTACCTTGGATTTCCATTTTAACTTATAATTTCTTTATTGCACTTAACATGAAATCTTGCGCTACAAGACTATAAGCTTCATGAGGACAAGGAACATATTTTAAATAAATATTTACTGTATTGTATAGTATCACTACTGATACATCAAAAATAACAAAAATTAACGTAAACACAATATAAAACAGCACACCATTATAGATGGTTTAGGACATTCCATAGCCTGACAGCAAAGAGGAATGACTTAGGACAAAATCAAGCTAAGTAAAATGAAATTTAAAAACTTATAGCTGTTTAAAAAAAAAAATACCATTCCTCCATACCCATGTCCCCTCATTTTTTAAATCTTCTGCCTAATGTTACCCATATGCAGACAAAGAGGTAATGGGCTAACAATGAATAATCAGACGTAAATTTTTGGACATGGACAAAATGGGAATTTGTTTTGCTTGGCTGTGCATATTCGTTACAGAGGCTTTTTCTTTTTCAATGGGGGAAGAACATGACAGTAAGAGAAAATAAATGGTAATTTAAAAAATTAATTTAAAAATTCAGTTGCTTACTCTTATTAGTAGAAAGCAGCTCTGATCTAAGTGCAAGAACACAGACTGGAAAAAAAGACCTGACTTTCATTATGAGACCTTGGCCAAGTCATTCTAATGGAGATAATACTTGCTTACCTATCTGGGAGGAACAAATGACAATGTAAATAAGCATAAAAATGTGGGGTATTATTGTTATGAAATGCTTCTAAACTTATCTACAATTTGTTACACATAAAAAGTTGTCAAATACCTTTATAGTTGTTTTGGACCCTTCTTCTTTTGTCTGCTTCATTCTGGAATTCATCAGAAAGCTGAAAAAGTCAGATTTCAGATCAATAAGACCTGAATAGCAATACACAAAATAGACCAAAAAAGTGTACATTCCATAGACAAGCAAACTCTAAAGAGCAGAGTACGTCAATAAGTGAACCTACAATTTTAAAGCAAATGCTTAAACTACTAAAGTGTCTCACATACAGTAGGCATTCAATATGCTTAGATTAAAAAGACTGAATTATAACATTATTTCACAGGCATACATGACATAAATACCATAAACAACCTAAGGAAATTTTTGGTGAACTACTATCCTCTTTCTTACCAGCTAAATATTTTCCTCTTTTCTTCTCTCTCTCTCTCTCAGACCTGCCAGGTCTAGCCTTATTATGGTTAATAAAAAAGACACAGATTTCTTGATGTACATATTTTACCCTGTCCATACTAAGCTTTTGCTACAAAAACTTACTTATAAAACAAAGTTATATGCCACAGACAAAACATAAAGATTTGGGAATAACGATCTTTAACCCATATAGGAGTGAGTCTCAAAATTCTAGGAAGATGATCACCACGGAATCTAGGATACATGTAATTAATTGGATGTGAGTGATCCCATGTCATAATTCAATGCAAAGAGAACTTCCAGCAATCCTGGTGTTCCAAAGTTGGGTCATATTAGAGAATAATAGGCTCAAATCTGATTGCTCTTTAAAATCTAGGGGGAAAAAGAAAAAGCCTGTGCTCCAGTGTTTAATATGAACTGAAAGGAGAGATACAAGGCTAGGAAAAGTTCTGGGGAAAGAGATCTAGAAAATTAGAGAACGTCAGTTAGACTTATTTCTAAGGACTTCCTCTATCTCTATCATCCTTCCCCACCCTTGCCCTACAATACTTTCTACTTTACTAAGGATATTTCCCTTGCTAGGCAGGAATAGCTTTCCCCCTTTTCCAATCCTAGTATATCTGTTTCTGCAAAATATGTGAGTCTTCTGGGAGGTCTTACTTGACCTAATGTCCCACTGTCCCCATTTTATGCTGCTAATTTCTTTACCTTAAACCCTTCTCCTTTAGCAGTTTTATATTCTATCTAAAATCTAGAAAGGATCTTTCAAGACACCCGGTCCCCTTAACGTTCAGTTTACTGAGTGAATTAAAGTATTGCCACCATTAGTATTATCATCAAGATAAAAATGTCTTTTATAAGAACCACTTGGGAAGCAGCTGGAATAAACTGCGTTTAAAATTTAAAGAGCTCGGTTCTGCCACTACTTTAGTCACTTTTTCTCTCTCTGGGTTCTAGTTTCCTTTAAGGTCCTTTCCAGATCTAAATCCACGACCCTTCAGGCCTAACATTTCTGTACTGGGAGTTTTTAACCTACTTTGTTTCATGGACCCCTACGGAAGTCTGGCAAAGAAGCCCTTCTCAGAAGCATGTTTTTAAATGCACAAAGGAAATCAATGATACTGAAACATTATCAAAATATTTTCAAAAATCAGGTTCACAGATCCCAGGTTAAGATCCCATGCTAACTTCCAGCCCTTGCACCCAAAACACCGACACGTTCCTGCGCTGATAACGGGAAGCGCCAGCTCAGTCACAGGCTTCCGAGTTCCACCACCGCCCCTCCAAAGCCTGGATCCGTGACCCGGGCGCGGTAGACAAGGACGCCCGGCGGCCGGCGCAGCAAACGCCTGCGCATGCGCACACCCACCCTCGGGGAAGACCCCCCGGCACGCGCCGCTCCCGGACAGCCAATCAGGGGCGTGGACAGCCCAACGCGCCAAAACTGAACCAACCAACCAACAAGGCTGCTCCACGTCCCTTCGGTCCCCGACACCTACAACCATTTAAACCAACTGCCTCCTCTTCCCCTCCCATAACCTCCTTTAAAAAAAAAAAGTAACAAGGAAAACTACGTGATACATAGGGCGTCACCCAACTACCACTCGCTGGCGGCTACGGGCTAAAAACACAAGGGATGATTCCTGAGAAGGGTTCGCCCACTCCGCGACCGAGAAACGCCGTCGACCTCTCCCTCTAGTTCTCCGCACCGGCCCCCGCCCAAGTCCCACTCACCGAAGAGCGCCGCCTGGTGCTGACGGCGCACACTCACGCGCGCAAGCGGCGTCTGAGGAGAGGCCAGCACCGAACCAAAGCAGCTGCACCGCGAGCTCGAGAAAGTAAATACGGATTGGAACGCCACGGGCCCCGCCCCAGGACGATCACGTGACCCCACCCGGGCGCGTCACGACCCGCCAGGAAACGCAGCCAATTCCTTTGCGACTCGACTCTCCTTTCGGCCCCGCCCCTTGGCCGCGGACACGCATGCGTATTCCGCAGTGGTCTGGGGAGCCGTAGCTGGAACCTGGGAAAGAGGGAGGGTTTGGGGGCTGGACGAGCTGATGCAGGTCCACGCCCACTTTATCTGAACTTCCGAAGCGACCTGCGCGATGAGTTTACCCCATCTACCTATTTTGCAGATGAGGAAATTGAGACCTACAGAGGGGATGTGAGTCCAGACTCCAAACTCAGACCATTCTGACCCTAGGTGTGTGCTGGTTCCATTATGCCACATTAACTTACAGAAAGTTAAACTGCATTCTTTTAAAACTTTGCTTCCCTTCAGTTGCTATGGTTTACATATATATATGTATGTATGTATATGTATATGTGTATATGTATAATATATAATATATATACATACACACCCATATCCATATACACACACATATGTTGTATTTACATATATATGCATGGGCAGCTCTAGGTGGCCACCGTGGATAGAATGCTGGTCCTGGAATCAGGAAAACTCATCTTCCAAAGTTCAAATATGGCCTCACAAATTTACTAGCTATGTGACCCTGGGCAAGTGACTTAACCCTGTTTGCCTCAGTTTCCTCATCTGTAAAATGAGCTGGAGAAGGAAATGGCAAACCACTTCAATATCTTTGCCAAGAAACTGCCAAATGGTGTTATAAAGAGTGAGACACAATTGAACAACAAGAGTGTGTGCACATGTTGTTTTCCTGTATAAGTTCCTTGAGGTCAGGTAGTGCCCATGAAGATGCCTTAGACTTAATAAATGCTTATTGATTGATCACTGGTGAAGTCTTCACCTAAATGTTGATGGGGTTTTATAGAACCAACCACAGCAAGATTATATTTCATAAGTGAAACAGTTTGTAAAATGCCTAAGTAATATTTCAGATATAATTTTGTTTTGTATTTGTTTTAAAATCATGAAATATTAAAGGAGAATAGGAAGATAGAAATACAAAATCTTAAATGAAACATATTGGCCAAGTACATTTGCCCAGAACTGCTTTCTCTATTGGATCTTTTTTGTTAACTTTTGTTTTGGAGATTTTAGAGTTCAGGGAGGGCAGGGGAATATGTCTGTTAATCCACTTGTTGTTCAGTCGTGGGTTTTTTTTGGGGGGGGGTTGTTGTTGTTGTGTCCAATTCTTCATGACCCCATTTGGGGTTTTCTTGGCAAAAATAATGGACTGCTTTGCCATTTCCTTCTCCATCTCGTTTTACAGATGAGGAACTAAGGCAGAGTTAAGTGACTTGTCCAGGGTCACACAGCTAGTAAGCTAGTAAATTTCTGGGATCAGATTTGAACTCAGGAAGATGAGTCTTCCTGACTCCAGGTCCAGCACTCTATCCGCAGTGCCATCTAGCTGCTGTTAATCCATTTTATACAGCACCAAATTAAGCAAGAGGCTTAATAAAGACTTTTCACAATGATAAGTTGATGGTTTCCCATTGTTTTCAAGCTGTATGGAAATGATTACATGTGACCTAATGTTATTAGCTGAGGGTTTCTCATATGTGTATGATTTGTGTTTTAGACATATATATGTATTAGACTAAATATATATTTTTCCGTTTTAGCCATATATGTGTACATACATATAATATACATGTGATAGATGGCTAAATATATTAAATATATTACGTATATAAAGCTAAAATAGAAAACTTAAATTCACAAATTCTTTGGAAAAATAGCTGATTAGTACAGAAAGAACTAGAATGATAGACTGTTATAACTAGATGATAGTTTAGAGACGATACTAATTCCTTCATTCTGTTATGAGAAAGCTGAAACTCAGAAAAATTAAGGGCCTTGTTCTGGGTCACACCACAAATGAGTGGCAAAACCAGGTCTAGAGGCAACATGAAACAGTGGAAAAAGTACTGGATTTGGAATTAGAAGACCTGGGATTGAATCCTCCACTCTGCTACTTATGATCACAAAAGCCAGGTCTCTTGATTTTCAGTATGGTTAATATTCTTTCTATTGCAGCCTATGCTTGCTCTCCTATTGTCTCCAAAAAAAAGTGGAGTGACTTACACCGTGGTGTGAATGTACCCAGGAAGTTTAGGAGAAGAATTTTTGGAGATTAGTAAGAAAGTACTAGGATTTCTATTTGTTTTATTTAAAAATACAAAAAAAAGAAAGAAATTAAACTTAACTGATATTTACTATATGGATTGTTATCTAGCACCCTCATTCTGTCCATATGTCAGGTGGTCATGTATATGGTGCCCAAGATATCCTGAGAGAAGAATGAATGTTCCAAAACAAGTAAAGGTTTACAGTAGCTTCCTTCACTTTCAGGCTATTGGGAAATAATGCAACTTGTAAATGCCTGGTTAAGTAGACTTGTGGATTATATTATCTAACTTCAACTGAACTAATTCTCACAGAATGGAAATATGTCTTAAAGATGATCCTTTGAAGAAACCGTGGAGTGGAGATATTATTTCTAATTCATCCACAAACCAACAACAAGAAAGGCGCGGAGCTGAGACATCTGTTCCTAAAACAAGCCATAACAAACTAATCAGATTTGATAAGAAGTTAGCCAAAATAACTTTTAATTATCAAGAAAATATTTGAAATATTATCTATTAATATTTGAAATTACATTCACTATGATGTTGAACCTCACCTTATTAAACATATATCATACCTTGAGATATTAGCTGATGTTAGTATGAAGCTGTCATGATGAACAAGACAAAAACTAATTTTCTATTGCCACAAATTATGGACCTCACCAATAAATGACAGCAATTAAAACCAATTGAAATAAACTGAACTTATAACCAGACTTTCATCTTGTTTTATTACAAGGTGGTACATCAAGATTTTCAAAAACTATGAAGCACCTTCAAATTCATTCATAAAAGGTTTTTCTTCCATAAAATAAAAATTATTTTAAAATATTATTTATTTCCTCTTTATATTATCTAATTTCTATTTTTATGTGCTTCATAGTATACATATCAGTATAATAGTTCATGTATATAATTTATACATATGTATTTTTGGGATGAATGTTGAAAGTGTTTTTACTGATTATGGTATGTGATCACAAAAGTTTGTAAAATACATCTAGATATTTGAGGAAAGATATTACTTAAAGGAATACATGCAAATTAAACCCCAAGTTTAATGAAACATTAGATCAAATTTTAAACATTTCATCCTTATTTTTTAAAAAATAGTGAAAATAATAATGTAATGGGAACTTACATAAAAATTACATGTATTCATCCTTCATGACGTTCAATAAGATTGTTTCTCAGATATCAAGGTGAATTATTGACCTGACATCTGTGGTGAAACCATGGATTATGTCATGTTTAAGATGAATAAAATTACATAGTTTTAGCTATTTTGATTTATATAGCAAATTTGACATTATAAAACCTTTTAATTTCTTGCTTCTTTACAGCTTTTTAATAGTCATAGTACTTCATATAAAATGTTAGCTGCACTTGATAAAGCACAAATTTTAGTTCTGTGGATACATGATTAAGCTGTTTCTGCCTGTCTTTTCTGACAGCCTTTATCTGTTAGTGAACAGAGTAGGATGAGGAAGATTATAGTAATGTGTTGAAATAGAAAAAGACAAGTGGGGCAAATGCTTTGTAGACACTGCATTAGCCAGAATCCACTCTCCCTAGGGACTGAGGTAGTGTAGGGGAGTATGCTGGTATAGTGGAGAGTGCCTACAGGTGTTGGAGGAATATGTTTATAACTTCTGTTTTTGCTGGATTTTTGCAGTAAATATTCTTTTGTAAAGAAAAAAAGGGTCATCATAATAAGACAACAAAATATACTTTGGCTTTATCTATCTTCAGTGAATGTCAATGTAGCTATTTGGTAAGAGAGGCAGAAGCTACAAAATTTATCTCAAAAACACTGATGATATCTGTTCTTATGAAAACTGCCATGGGCTTACTAGCTGCTTTGGAGAACAAACAGCTATATCTTATGGTCTGATTCAAAAGGATATATTATAATAGTTTATATGGAATTCAATTTAACCTAACTGCCTTAACTCATGATATTTTCCAAATGGTTTTCTCTATTTTTCATATTATGTGTGGTTATGTGTGAAAACTTGAATCCACTATTCTATGCTAGGTTAAGAAAAAATGGTAGTAAAGCAATTGGTTAAAGAAATATGATACTATAAAAATTTTGAAAATCAAAAAATATAAATAACATATGTTGAAGGTGATGGGTCCATTGTATGCTACCACCATCAATCATTTCTGAGATATTATAATCACTTCTAGGTGTATGAAGGACATTGACAAGCTAGAGAGAGTCCAGAGAAAGGTCACCAGAATGGTGAGGGGACTAGAATTGGGGGGACCACACAAGCATTGAAGGAAGATACTGACAATGTTTAGTCTGGAGAAAAGAAACTTGGAGAGAACATAACAGTTTTCATCAGGTATTTGAAGGATTGTCATATGAAAGAGGAATTAGACTTTTCTTTTTTTGCTTAGTCTCAAAGGAGGTTAATGGATGGAAGTTATAGAGAGGCAGATTTAGGCTCAAGGTAAGGAAGAACATGAAGTTGTTGAGGGACTGATATAAAAGATATCTGAAGAAGAGGAAGATACCAAAAGTGTGAAAAAAAAAATCTGACCTTATTAATAAAAAAAAGGGTATTGAGAAAATAATGCCTATATGCCCACTCTCCTACATATACAAAAATCTTTGAGAATTATCTGTATAGATCAAGGGTATCCTCAATAAGCATATTTGTAGGGGAAGAGTAGGTTTTAATATTCAACAGTAGGCAACATCTTTTTCATTTCACAATTAACTGGAAAATGTAGATGACAAGATCTCACTGTGCTTATTATTTGTTGATTATGAA